CCGAATTTATCTATCAATTTATCAATTCATTAATTTATTAATTTGCCGTATACGCACAGTTACGGCGATATACAGATAACGCGTGTCTATCCTGCTACCTCGCAAAATATGCCGAGAGAGCTACTCTTTGAAAATAGCAGAGGTCGCGAATAGTCACGCCAATTAATTCTCTTGCGCGACCTGTTAATTTTCTCTGAAAAATTTAATTTTCGGTCGCGCTTTAATCACGCCGCGTACGATATCAAGCGAAATTTCAGGATAGGGAGAAAGCTTTCTTTCCTGAAAGGATGCGCGGTCTGCAAAAGGGATCAGCGCTCAGAAAAACTCGTAACGACATTAACTATGGAACTATCAATACTTCACACATATACACAAGCGCTTTATACCTATAGTTTCCACACATACATTTATACTACACTCATATGTTTAAACTATCTATTAAAAGAATCCAGCGATTTATTTAATTTTCATACAAATTTTCATATGAATAATTGCATGTCTAAAAATATATTTTCCAGTTTGCACGCTCCTTTTATCTTTAGCATTTATAATTTATTTAATAAAACACAGGTATTTTTAATTTAACGTACTTGCATTTAATATCAGACACGTGCTTAATCTATTATGATATATCCGTATTTAATAAAATTTTTAAATACATTTATTCTCAAAATAACGTCAGTTTTTGCATTAACATTACTGAGGGACATTACACATTATTTATTGTAGCGTATAGCATTATTTCTCACATCCGTGCATTATATTTCATATCGTCGCGAGCTTAACATTTAACGTTGCGACCTTTACCTGCTGCACTACTTCGAAAGGCCATGAAAGACGATGTTCATCGGCACAAAAGATTTTATTTTGTTGGGTGTGCTACACGTGCCGTCTTACCCACTTACACGCATGCCAGATTTCGGGATCACCTTGTTATAAATTCCACGCGATAACACCGTTAATCACATCGATCGATCGACCACTTTTCTTCGTCGAATGTTTTTACTGGCGCACAAAAATATGCATGCACGGAAGTATTTGTCACAGCGATGCGTGCATCAAATTCCACCGAATAATAATACAGAGCGATCCTAATAAGTATAATAGGATATCAGGTAGAGGAATGATCCCAAGTCTTGTCTTCCTTGAATGAAAAATGTTATTTCAACACTATTTCTTCTGATACCAATTTGCAATGCAACGTTATAGCCAATAACTAATTTACTGAATAATTTTTAGTGCAAGAAAAGGGAACAAATTTTTTATTAAACTTATTTTGGGACGATGAGTTCAAAAATTTCAGAAAAATTTCATCAAATCGAATTTTTTAAATATAGCATGTCAGTTTTTAGATACCTAATGGTATTTCTTTCCGAATAATTAAAAAGTAAACGTTTCCTTCAGGATTTGATAACTGAGAAACGTTATTGAGAAACGTTATTAGAGATATAATTAGGGACGAAAACTACTGCTGCAAACAACGAAATAAAAAAACAAAAATTAAACGCTCAAATACCTCTAGTTTTTTTCTAATTTCAAATAAAATATCAAAATTTTTCTATAAAACTTTCCTATACAACTTCAACAAATGTCTTTTTTTATATTTCAAAAATCGGACCTGATGGAAATATTTCGATGACAAATTCAGACTCAGTGAAAATTATTTTAAAAACAGTTTTTATATGCTCCTGCGCAAAAGTTTAATGTAAATCTAATGTAATCAAAAGCAATTTCACATTTAACTAAATATATGATACAGAATATATGTAGATCTCGGGCTAAATGAAAACTTGAACAAATCGAATTATAAGATATAATATAATTATCTCAGTAAGAAGTCATTTTAATTTTTATGCATTCTTTACTTATATCTTTTTATAGATGAATTATATAATACCGTCAGTATTATAAGTGCTGAATTTTTGAAATTAAAAAAAAAACGGCGTTCAATATTGCATTACGTTCTACACCATCCGAATTTACAGAGTTTTATATCGATCGACTCTTTTTCTTTCTATTACTGTGAGGAAATCTCTAACTTTTTGTAGCACATTAGTAATCGCAACTTAGTTAATTAGAACAATATTTTCTGGTAATTGCTTTCATTAGAATACCACGGCTACCTGTTATTCTTTCTCTCGCCAGCATGTAATGCTATAGTTACGTATATCGATTAACGTTGCGATGGATGTAACACATACAGCTATTCCACAACTATATATCTCGCGATAAGAGCAGCGATAGCGCTTTACGTGTATTAAGGAAATTGCAAAGTCGCCTCTATTTCGGGAAATCGTGCAAATTTTTCAGGCTGTACCCCATGTAAAATTTTTGCTTATTCGAATGCATATTCGACATTTGATGCATATTGTTTGGGCTCTATAAATATTTATAAAACGCGCGTCGCATGCGCGAAACGCATGAAAATATTTAACGAGAATTTTGTTAAATATTAGTTAGTAAAAAGGCATGAAAACATACATACCACGCGAACGGTTTTTTCACCGTCGTTTTGTTTAACTTTATTTGCACACACCAAGCATTTTCCAAGCTCGATCAGAAAAAAAAACCTTTGAAGATAAACAAGTTTCTGTATAGATGCGTTCGATTCCGATTTGTAGCGTGTGCGTTCATCTTCTGCAAATTCTTCGGTGCATAACCACAAGAATACGGAAGAGTCATGTATACGCATCGGTTTGTATTTGTTAATTCTGTGTTTACTTTTCCGGAAGAGGAACAGGAAGCAAGGCGAAACCTGTTTACTGTTAGTTTTCTTTCCAACAGATTCCAATCAAAAAGATTTCTGATTTTGACATATTCATATACAAGAATATTTGCATTCCAAACTTTCTTCTTAAATATTTCAGCAGAATAGTTTATTTTTTCCCGACGATTATTCCGCCTTTTGAGGTGTCTGCACTAATTATTATACATATATCGACAATAGAGTTCTAGTGAATTAATTTTCATGTATAATGTTGCTTATAACATTGTGAACAAAAGATGTCATAGACACAAGACTCAATAATGGATAGTTTTTGATCTTGTATCAAAGGTGCTCCTGTGAGCACAAGTTTTACACATTTGATACATCACAGCTCAAAAACTATCCATTATTCAGCCTTGTATCTGTATGACATTTTTTCATCACATTGTAAGCTACATATATGTGAAAAATAACTCATTTCACCGGGATCCAATTTTTCGTAGAATTAGCGCGGGGTCCTTTGTGAGATTTTGATCGCATTCATTGGCTATCGTGCGGCGTAAATTTTCGACGAAAATCTCGTTCACATATACATCGCGCAAATTACATTAATGCGAGTCCAGTTCCACATGAGGATTCCCTTAAATGCGATCATCGATGATGGTCAAATGGCGATACATTGTTAGAGCGAAGGCATGACCTACGAGTGCGGTATCGTTTTGCGATAGATCCCGAGCACGAATTGTTGCGCAACGAGAGTGACGGGCGGCACGTATGAGCCCACACACGAATAAGCGACTCATTACCCGCGAGACATTGTTACCGCGGTTGCGCACACACATACAAGCCGTACGTATCTCGCAGCCGAACTAGTTTACGAGAGAATGTTGATCATCCTAGAACGTGG